CTCTCTTTCTTTCTTCTTTCTTTTTCTTTCTTTCTTTAAATCCGTTCTTTTTCGTTTCACCATTCTCTCTCTCTCTCTTTTCTTTTCTTTCTTTCTTTCTTTCTTTCGTTTCACCATTCTCTCTTTCTTTCTTTCTTTCATTCTTTAAATCCGTTCTTCCTTTCGTTTCACCATTCTCTCTCTCTCTCTTTTTTTTCTTTCTTTCATTCTTTCGTTTCACCATTCTCTCTTTCTTTCTTTCTTTCATTCTTCCAATCCGTTCTTCCTTTCGTTTCACCATTCTCTCTCTCTCTCTTTCTCTCTTTTTTTTTCTTTCTTTAAATCCGTTCTTCCCTTTCGTTTCACCATTCTCTCTCTCTTTCTTTCTTTTCTTTCTTTCATTCTTTCGTTTCAACATTCTCTCTCTTCTCTTTCTTTCTTTCATTCTTTAAATCCGTTCTTCCTTTCGTTTCACCATTCTCTCTCTCTCTTTCTTTCTTTTTTTCTTTTTTCATTCTTTCTTTCCATCCTTTTTCTTCCTTTCATTTCACCATTCTCTCTCTCTCTCTTTTTTTCTTTTCTTTCATTCTTTAAATCCGTTCTTCCTTTCGTTTCATTCTCTCTCTCTCTCTCTCTCTTTCTTTCTTTTTTTTCTTTCTTTTCTTTAAATCCATTCTTTCCTTTCGTTTCACCATTCTCTCTCTCTCTCTTTCTTTCTTTTTTCATTCTTTCTTTCCATCCGTTCTTCCTTTCGTTTCACCATTCTCTCTCTCTCTCTCTCTTTCTTTCTTTTTCTTTCTTTCTTTAAATCCGTTCTTCCTTTCGTTTCACCATTCTCTCTCTCTTTCTTTCTTTCTTTCTTTCTTTCATTCTTTCGTTTCACCATTCTCTCTTTCTTTCTTTCTTTCATTCTTTAAATCCGTTCTTCCTTTCGTTTCACCATTCTTTCTCTCTCTCTCTCTTTCTTTCTTTTTTCTTTCATTCTTTCGTTTCACCATTCTCTCTTTCTTTCTTTCTTTCATTCTTTAAATCCGTTCTTCCTTTCGTTTCACCATTGTCTCTCTCTCTCTCTTTCTTTCTTTCTTTCATTCTTTCGTTTCACCATTCTCTCTTTCTTTCTTTCTTTCATTCTTTAAATCCGTTCTTCCTTTCGTTTCACCATTCTCTCTCTCTCTCTCTTTCTTTCTTTTTTCATTCTTTCTTTCCATCCGTTCTTCCTTTCGTTTCACCATTCTCTCTCTCTCTCTCTTTCTTTCTTTCTTTCATTCTTTAAATCCGTTCTTCCTTTCGTTTCACCATTCTCTCTCTCTCTCTCTCTCTCTCTTTCTTTCTTTTTTCTTTCTTTCTTTAAATCCGTTCTTCCTTTCGTTTCACCATTCTCTCTCTCTCTCTTTCTTTCTTTTTTCATTCTTTCTTTCCATCCGTTCTTCCTTTCGTTTCACCATTCTCTCTCTCTCTCTCTTTCTTTCTTTTTCTTTCTTTCTTTAAATCCGTTCTTCCTTTCGTTTCACCATTCTCTCTCTTTCTTTCTTTTCTTTCTTTTCTTTTTCATTCTTTCGTTTCACCATTCTCTTTCTTTCTTTCTTTCATTCTTTAAATCCATTCTTCCTTTCGTTTCACCATTCTTTCTCTCTCTCTCTTTTTTTTTCTTTTTCTTTCTTTCTTTCGTTTCACCATTCTCTCTTTCTTTCTTTCATTCTTTTTAAATCCGTTCTTCCTTTCGTTTCACCATTGTCTCTCTCTCTCTTTCTTTCTTTCTTTCATTCTTTCGTTTCACCATTCTCTCTTTCTTTCTTTCTTTCATTCTTTAAATCCGTTCTTCCTTTTGTTTCCACCATTCTCTCTCTCTCTCTCTTCTTTCTTTTTTTTTTTCTTTCTTTCTTTAAATCCGTTCTTCCTTTCGTTTCACCATTCTCTCTCTCTCTCTTTCTTTCTTTCTTTCTTTCATTCTTTCGTTTCACCATTCTCTCTTTCTTTCTTTCTTTCTTTCATTCTTTAAATCCGTTCTTCCTTTCGTTTCACCATTCTCTCTCTCTCTCTCTTTCTTTCTTTTTTCTTTCTTTCTTTAAATCCGTTCTTCCTTTCGTTTCACCATTCTCTCTCTCTCTTTCTTTCTTTCTTTCTTTCTTTCATTCTTTCGTTTCACCATTCTCTCTTTCTTTCTTTCTTTCATTCTTTTTTCTTCCGTTCTTCCTTTCGTTTCACCATTCTCTCTCTCTCTCTTTCTTTCTTTTTTCTTTCTTTCTTTAAATCCGTTCTTCCTTTCGTTTCACCATTCTCTCTCTCTCTCTCTCTCTCTTTCTTTCTTTTTTCATTCTTTCTTTCCATCCGTTCTTCCTTTCGTTTTTTTTCACCATTCTCTCTCTCTCTCTTTTTCTTTCTTTCTTTCATTCTTTTAAATCCGTTCTTCCTTTCGTTTCACCATTCTCTCTCTCTCTCTCTCTCTCTCTCTCTTTTTTTCTTTTTCTTTCTTTCTTTAAATCCGTTCTTCCCTTTCGTTTCACCATTCTCTCTCTCTCTC